CCAGCGTGCCTGCATTCTGTGGTAAGGATGACACCGTTGGAAACCCAAGGGGGCCGTTCCATCCTGTCCTATGGGGCCCAGGTGTCAGATTTGAATTGAAGGCACACGGCCATTTATACCTTAGCCCTCGTAGATTTGCCTGAGCTAACCTGTTCAGGATCCTCCTATCGAATGCTCCACGTGCATCTTAAAACTTTCCCCTCGTGGGGGCCCCTCCACAGAGCCCAAACCAATTCTCCTTTCTCTTCAATATACTTCCCATCTCCCAACACTCCCATGTGGCCCCTGCTTACTGTCTATGTTTCAAACGATGTTGCGTTTTGGGGGGAAGCCGAGGGGAAAACCCACGTGAGCCCCCTCCTAGGGCTTGGAGGGTCTACAGCCCTTCAACATGGCGGAGGAGAGGGGCAGCCTGACCCCTGACCCCGGAAGTGTCTCTTCTTTGGCAGTTAGACTGGCATCCAGGGCCAAACCTCAGGTGGGGTTGCTTTGACCAGGAAGCATGGAGTCACCTAAACTCTCTTGGTAGGCCTGCAGGCTTCTGCTAAGGGTGCCTGCTCTCCGACAGACAGGAAGTAGTGGAGAAACCGCTGTGTGTTGCCCTGAGGTTCTCACTAGGGGGGTGCACTGTCCCCTAGGGGCCTTCGGGGACTGCAGGTGGAGCCAGTCACCCTGGACGCACGGTGCCCCTTGAGTGTCAGAGCAGAACTGGGCTGCAGTGTTTCCAATGACTGGTTGTTTCACAAAGGGGGGGCAGGGGGGAAAGCATCAGGCCTTTCTTCCGACACACCTCCAGCCGGGCTCACACATCACAATTTATCCCCGCTTTTGACGTTGAAGAAACTGCCCTGTGCGTTTCCAAGGCGACAGAGCTTTGCAGGAGCAGAAAGCCTCGTCTTGTCTCAGACTGCTGACCTTTGGGCTAGCAGCCCAGCCCTGATGGCGCAAGTAGTGGGTTACAAGTCAGGCTGCCAATGGCAAGGTCAGCAGTTCAAAACCACCAGCCACTCCATGGGAGAAAGACGAGGCTTTCTGCTCCCGGAAAGCCTTATAGTGTCACAAACCCTGAGAGGCAGTTCTACCCTGTCCTGTGAGTCAGGAGTCCCTGGCAGTGAGTTTAAGAACTTTAACTTTGTCACTATCGTCTACAATTTGACGCTGCTGGCTCTTGTAGGTTTGTTTTCCGGGAGCCCTGGTGACGCAGTGGGTCACTCGTTGGGCTGCTAACTGCAAGGTCAGCAGTTCAAACCCACCAACTGCTCCTTTAGTGCAAGATGAGGCTCATCGACTCGGAAACCCGCAAGCACAGTTCTACCCTGCCCCGTAGGGTCATGCTGAGTCAGAATCGGCTCGATGGCAGGGAGGACGTTTATTTTACTTTAGATCCAACTGTGTCTGCGTGGACTTCTGGGTGGTGTTGCCATGGGTGATACTCTCAGGATGTTGGTTCTCTATTGAAGGAATTCCCTTCAATATTTCTTTTTAAATTGGTCTGTTTGTATAATGTCCTTTCATTTCTGTTTATAAGCCTTCATCCTTCCCTTTACCACCTGAGACACGGGTGTAAGTCCAAGGTACACACTTGCTCAGGTGTCCTCCACTGTGCTCAGATGAGAAAGCCCAGGAGAAGACCCCCCTTGAGGGCCAACAAGACCCCAGCCCCCAGAGCTTCCCTGGACCTGGTGCTGGGGAGGGGTAGATTCAGAAGGGAGACTTCACTGTAGCCTCATCAGGGCTGTGTGAGGTCAGTGTGCCCAGTGGCCTGGGTCACAGAAAAGGAAACTGGGGCATGGGGAGCCTGCTTCGTGCCCAGGGTCATAGGGCAAGCAGGTGATTTCCACTCTCTCAGCCTGTCTAAACGCCTCCCTCTGGACCCCAGAAGCCACCAGAGTGAAGGGACAGTGCCCCATGGAGTGGGACATGGGAATGGAGAGTCTAAGGTATTCCCTAGGGGGCCTTGACCCCACTGCCCCTCCTCCCCGAGCCGCCCCCTTTGAGTGGTTTTCTCAGAGCCTCATGTGTGCCTTGGAGAAAATGTCCTCATCTTCCGCCCTTCTCCAGAAACATGATGACCGGGGACACAGAGCCTCCCCAGGGCGGTGGCCCAGGCTCCTCCCAGGCTGCCGGTCCCTGCCCAGCCACTCGCTGCCTGAACTGGTTCTCGCCCTTACTCACAAGCAGCCCAGGACCGTGCATTCTCCCGCTGCCCCTTGCAGTGGCCAGAGCGAGATGGAAATGAAATTTCTAGGTTTCTTTCTTCTTCGATCTTTGGATCTGCTTTTTATAAATGACCACACTCAGAGGGAAGGAAGCCTTTAACGACATGCCCCCTGGGCTCGGGGCTGTTCCTGGAGATGGAGGCTAGCCCCCAGGGGCACTGGGGGAGGTGTTGTGGGAAGGGTACAGAGCCCACCCACTGCCACAAGTCAATTCCAGCTCATAGCAACCCTCCGTAGGAAGTCTTCTCACCGCAGTCCAGCCTCACCTCTCTCCCTTCGAGCAGCTGGTGGGTTTGAACCAGCCACCTTGGGGTTAGCAGCCTCCCAGCACTTACCCAAAGGTGCAACCAGAGCTCTAAAGAGCCTAAGGGTCATCTTAGGAGGCGGTGAGGGTCTCAGGGTCCAGTTGTCCATGGGGGAGACCCAGGTTTGGTTCCAGGCCCATGCAGATGCCATGCAGCCATCCGAGGGGGGCTTGAGCGTTGCTATGATACGGGACAGGTTTCAATGGACCTTCCAGACTGGGGTGGACTAGAGCAAAGGCCTGGTGATCTGCTTCTGAACATCAGCCTTTGAAAAGCCTCTGGATCACCGCCCTCTGATCCACGTTGAACCTTGAACCACAGGCAGGACTGGGTAGCATTTCGCCCTGGCAGACATGGGGTTACATGAGACAGACTCAGCACACAGGGCCGTGCGGTCCTCCCTCTCCTGCCCAGGGAGGCCAGGCGTGAAGGTCATACATCCAGCCATGGCCAAAGGCCAGGACTAAAGGTCTGTAAGGTAAACCTGAGTCCAGCTTCCCACAGCCCCTGGGGTGGCGGGTAGGGATGAGGCAGCCTTCTGTGCTGTCTGCACCCCACCACTGTCAGGGCCCCAGCGAGGCTTTTAGCCACACCACGGGGTCTCTCTCTCACGGCCATCCCTCCTGACTCCTGGCACCCAGGGAGGACAGGGCAGCACGCCCCTGTGGGCTTCCAAGACTGTACCTCTTGACGGGAGGAGAAAGCCCTCCCCCCCCCTACCCCCATGGAGCGGCTGGTGGTTTCCTTGCGGTTAGCAGCCAGTGCGAACCCACTATGCCGCAAGGTCCAGGGACATGGACTGACCCATCCAGTGACTGGGCGCCGGCCCATCCTGACTCCCAGAGCCCCTGTAAGCTGCCCCCTTTGAGTTTCTGAAGCTATTGTCTTTAAGAAATCACACTGCCACCTCTTTCTCCCCGTTGTGGCTGGTGGGTTGGAACCACTGACACTCCAGCCATCTCACGCTTAACCCCCTGCGCCACCGGGGCTCCCTGAGCAGGAGTCGCGTGTTTCTTGGCTGCTGTCAGCACCCAGGGCACAGGCACCAAGGTATCTGCCACCTTCAGGGGACTTAGTCCTAGGCTTTGAAGCAGCGACACCAGAAGGAGGGTGGGGGCGGGGGGGACCTTCCCCCCCACCCCAGGTTTCCTGGACGCCGGGCTTGCAAGGACAGCCAAGGCTGGCGTCCGCTCACCTGCCATTGGTGGGAATCAGTCACGTGGTCCCAGCTGGTGCTGGGGCCGCTGGGAAATGGAGTCCTGGGCTGGAGCGCAGCTCCACGGGGAGCTGCTGATTGGCTGAGCGGCTGTCTGCCTCGCTCGGGGCACCCTGGGCGTGAAAGGAGCCTGAGCACGCTGACCCCTCTGTGTGTCCTCTGGGGGTCCCTCGTGACGTGCAGAGGTGCTTTCTGCGGTGTGAGCAAAGCAGGCGGTCTCCGATTCTGGGATGGCGGAGGGATCACGCTGCGCAGTATGAGTGAGACTCTGGCCGGGTTCCTGAAGCCACTTGGGCTTGTGCGGGAGACTGGCTTTGGCGGGAAATGAAACACTCAACCGGGCGCCGTTTTGGTTTGGGGGTCCTAGGTTGTCTATCCCACCCCGTTCCGCCGTTCAGTCGACACCCCGTTCAGAAGGTTGCATCCGAACCGGCCGAGCAGGGAAGCGAGCAGGGGCTTCCCTGTAGTCCTGACTCACAAGAGACCTGACGTCCAGCTGGGCGAAGCACGCACCATCCTGTCGTCTGAGCCATCCATCGGGTCACGGGAAACTTCATTAGGAGCAAGAATCAAGTTTGCTGGGATTCTTTTTTATGAACAAACAGCTCTCATCAGGACAACAGACGGAAACGCCGCCCGGCCCTGCGCTGCCCAAGCCCATGGCCGCAGCCGCTGTGTCTGTCCATCTAGGCGGGGGGCCTTCCTCGTTCTCGCTGCCCCTCCACTGTTCCAAGCACTATGTCCTCCTCCGGGGACTGGTCTCTCCCGACAACGTGTCCAAAGTATCTTGCCTGTAAGGAGCGCTCTGGTCGTACTTCTTCCAAGACAGACCAGTTTGTCCTCTCGGCAGTCCGTGGTCCTTCCAATAGTCTTCTCCACACCACAGTTCACATGCATCGATTTTTCTATGGTCTTCCTTATTCACTGTCCAAGGGACAGTGGCAGTCAACAGTCTTACCCTCACCCACCCCCTGCGTGGGCGGGCTCGGGACGTCACGTTAGAACTACCTGTGCCCACCTGGGTGGCACTTGTCACTGTCCAGACTCAGGGGACCTGTCTCCGGGGTAGAGTGTGGTCATCCTCCGTATCCTCAGCCTGTGGGGGGATCTACCTCTGCTTTGAGCACTGACCCTACCCCACCTGGGACCAGCCTGGAGAAGCCAGACCCTGGGACAAGGTCTCCTGGTCCCTGAGCTCTTCTTCCCCTAGAGGGCTGCCTCCACATAGTGAGTCTGATGTCTTCCTTTCTCTCTCCGTAGAAACCCGTGCGGACCGCAGCAAGAAGCTCTTCCGGCACTACACGGTCGGCTCCTATGACAGCTTTGACGCAGCCAGGTAAGGCGTGCTCCTTCCTCTGCGGGGCCGCCGGGGCCGAGGCGCGTCCTTCAGGGCTGGGCTGCAGGGGCAGTTCTGCATGCAGGTGCTCAGAGGCCCTGAGTCCATTGCCCCCTGGGTGTGCACTGAGACCCAGAGCCCAGGCTAGGATGCTGGGAGCTGTTTCCTGAGGCTCTAACTCAGAGGTGGTCTCCATGCAGCCCTGAGGTCCGGCAGCAGCCCACCCCACTGTACAGGTGCCCCCAGAGGTAGTCCATCTGTCGTTCTGAGAGGTGCAAAGTGTGGCCTGGGCAGGGAGATGCAGAAAAGTGAGAGGTGACAAGAGGTGGCCCCAACCCCAAGGAGGTGACATTGATGCGGCGTGTCCCTGGTCACAGGGAATGTTAGGTGTGGTAAGCGGTGGGCTGCTAACGGCAAGGGCATCGGTTCAAATCCACCAGCTGCTGCTCAGAACAAAGAGGAGTCTGTCTGCTTCTGTAGAGATAGCAGTCTCGGGGAACTTCTGGGGCAGTCCTACGCCATGCAGCAGGGGCACCATGAGTCAGAATCGCTTGGGCAGCAGTGGGTTTAATTTAGGATTTCGGTGGTGAGTCCCAGGACACCGGGAGCATGGGGTCCAGCATTTGCCCCTCCTGCATCTCCATCCTCATCCCCCGCCCCTTTGCCAGAGTCTTTGTGAGCAAGGGCTTGTCCCAGGGGCTGGGACACTCAGCCTGAAGCTCTGTGTCCAGCTCCTGCCCCAAGGAGGACATGTTGGGTTTGAGAGCACTGTGAGGGGCAGGAGACTTGCCAGGGGCTGGTAGCAGCCTGCTCACAGGCAGGGGCCCACCAGTGGGGCAGAGAGAGTGGGGTAGGGGCCAGTGGGGCAGGGTCCCACCAGTGGGGCAGGGGCCCACCAGTGGGGCAGAGAGAGGCCACATGCCCCCCTTGGTAGGTGCGTGTGTGTGCCCACTCTGCATTTGGACCTGCTCTGTGCCTGCCTCTCTCGCTGAGAGGTAGTAGGAGGGACTGATGGGGACAGAGAAGACCATGAGGCCACCCGGTGGCTGTCAGGGTAGAACTGTGCTTTTCAGGGTTTTCAGTGATGGGGGAAAGCAGTTACGCACCCCACTTCTAACTGAAGGTGTACTCGTTGAGTCTACCCAGAGGTGCTGCAGAGGGAGGTGCCTGGCAGTCTGATCCCTGAAAGTCACAGTTTGGAAAACCCGATGAAGCAGTTCTACTCGGCGACCTGCGGGGTCACCCATAGTGGGAAAGGCGCCAAGGTGTAGCCAGTTTGGGTCGTTCCGCTGGTGGGTCCACGTGGCTATAGCACTCTGTAGGACTCTCAGCAGGGCAGACCCCGCCAGGAAGCAAGACTGGGTCTCGTCTGGTGGATGATGGTGGGAACTGTCACAGCTGCTTGGCAGCACCCCTGGAGGTAATGAGCTCCCCATCTTTGGAGGGAATCAAGCAGAGTCAGATATTCTGCTGCTAGAGTGTCAAGGAGGGTCAAGCTAGCCTGCCTCCAGGACCCCTGCCCAGTCTTCCCCTGGGTCTCAGCGGTCTGTGCCTGGCTCTGAAGCCACTGTGGTGAGGGACACCCAGCCCACACCGGTCAGCTGGTCACTTCTGATCAAAGGGTCATCGGTTCTCGCTGGGACCATAAGTCAGGAGCCCTTGTTGTTGGGCGCCCTCGAGTCGATTCCAACTCACATCGGCCTTGTGTGACAGAGTGGAACTGACCTCCCCGGAGGGTGCTCAGGCGGTCAGCTTTATGGGTGCAAACCACCAAGTCTTCCTCTTGTAGGGCTGCTGATGGGTCCCAACTGCCAGCCTTCAATTGGCAACCAAACAGAGCCATTGCACTGCCAGGGCTCCGTGTGAGGGACACAGGAGATGCAGGGTGGGCACAAGGATCAAGCACAGATCCGGGACCCATTCCCACAGGACTTCACAGATGGCTCAAGACCATTCGAAGACAGTTATCCACACCCAGGGGTGAGAAAGCTATGTCCACGCCTCCCAAAGCAGACCCTCGCTTCCTCCGCATGGGGGATCCAGGAGAGTCGAACTGGAGGGGCCAAAGCTCTCAGGATCTCACTCTGGCTGAACAGCCCCCTTCTACCATCTACCCATCCATCCCTCCCCCCTGCCCACCGCCACACATACATCCACTGCTGGTCACCCAGGTGTCACCTGGTGGAGCTATGCACGTTGCTATGATACTGAAAGCTATCCCACTACCCCAGGAGGCTCATCCGTGGTAGACATGTGTCAACAGACCTTCCAGACGACACCAGACTAAGAAGCAGGACCGAGACAAACCCTTCTCATCACACAAGCCCTGCAAAGCCTTTTGAATAGCAGCGATACTGTCGGATATCCCACTGGGACTAGCCCTCCGGGCAGGAAAGCACTCAGCGGATATCCCACTGGGACCAGCCCTCGGGCAGGAAAGCACTCAGCGGTTGGCCGACCTGGGAAGAGCTCCCTCAAAGCAGAGCCGGCCTTCATGACGCTTCCAGGGTCTTCCCTTTTTGCTGAGGAGTGACACCAAAGGAGAAGTGGCGACACGCGTTGACGGTGGAATGTGGATTGTACAAAGTATGAATCTTGGGCAATTGGAAGCCGCCAGAAATGGAATGGAATGCATGAAGATCAATGTCCTGGGCGTTGGTGAGCTGGCGTGGACTTGAATCGGCTATTTTGCATCGGACAATCCTACAGTCAACCCTCAGAGAGGTACAGCCTGCTCTTTCGTCTCACATACTTTGGATATATTATCCGCAGAGACCAGTCCCTGAAGGCAGCATCACACTTGGTAACACAGAGGGCCGATCGTCAACGAGATGGATTGCACAATGGCTGCAACAATGGGCTCAAACAGTACAGTGCCTGTGAGGGTGATTTGGACCGGGCGATGTTTCAGTCTGTTGCACATAGTCAACAGGAGTGGGAATCAACTCAACAGCGCCTAACAACAACAGCAACAATACACACACACACACCCTTATCCATTACTCACTCATGGGTCCACAGAGACACGCATCCACCAGACGCGTTCATCCATCTACCGATCCATCCACTCATTCATTCACCCACCCTTGTATCCATCCAACTAACCCAATTAGTGGGTGTATCCATCTACCCCACTAACCACACATTCAACTACTCACCCACGCATGTGTACACACATGCACACACACTCACCCAACACATTCATGCCTCTCTCTACCCATCCATCAATCCACTTGCATGTATACATCTACCCATTCACCCACTTATTTGTACCTGCATCCATCCACCTACTCCTCAGTTCATCCACCCCTTCTTCCATCCATCTAACCTTCATCCATTTACTCACTAATTCAGCTCCAAACCCTCTATCCAGAAAAATCACTCACCATCCACGCAATCATATATTCATACACCCACCCGTCCATCTGTCTGCACCCACTCTTCCATCCATCAAGCCATGCATCCAGACTCCCCGCCATCCATCTCCCAGCCCATTTGGTCGTCAGTTCATCCACTCACCTCTCCATCATCCATTCACCTACCCCATGCACCTGTCCTTTTATTTAGCAGCAATTATTTGAACCCTGATGACTTTTTGGCTTGGGGAATACAGAGCAAACAAGACAAACACCGTCTTACAACTGATACATGTTACAGAACAATTAGGGCGATGATCAATAGTGTTTACAGATAAACCAGATCTTTTGCTCTGTGGCGCTAATTAACAGCGCCACCATGGAACTACTTGGGTTATGCAATGGTTAAGTTGGCGTGGTAACTTGCCTGGTCCGAGGTTCTCGGTGGCTTGGCAGTTATGGAATGAAACTGTCGTCCCATATGATGTCACCCCATGATGGGATCAGTTATTCAGTGGGCATCTGCTGCCATACAGTGTTTGGGGTTTGTTTTGTTTGCTTTAATGGCAGCTTTTTCTCTATTCAAGCCATGTACCGTAGCACACATCCTTTTTAAAGCATACAATTCGTGGCTTTGAGTATATCCACAAGGTTTTGAATCCGCTACCACTCTCTGAGCCCCACGGTGCAATCATTTAGCATTTGGCTGCTGACCAAAAAGTTGCCAGTTCAAACCCACCTAGAAGCGCCAAGGGAGAAAAGTCGTGGCCACCTTTTTCCGTTGTGGTAACAGTCTGGGGCAGTGGTCCTCAACCTTCCTAATGCCATGACCCTTTAATGCAGTTCCTCGTGTGGTGGTGACCCCTAACCATAACATTATTTTCATTGCTACTTCATCACTGTAATTTTGCTACTGTTATGAATCGGGCAACCCCTGTGAAAGGGTCATTCGACTCTCAAAGGGGTTGCCACCCACAGGTTGAGAACCTCTGGTCTAGGGGGTCCTGGGGGGCAGCCCTGCCCTGACTGAAAGTGGAAGATCTCCTCGAAGACACCTACCCAAAGCAATTCCAAAATATTTTCGTCATCCCCAAAAGAAGCCCCATGCTCATTAACACTCACTCTTCCCTTTCCCCATCCCCCATGCTCTGGGCAACCGCGGATGCACTCGGTCTCTGCTCAGGTTTCCTCTAACCGTAATCTTCTATTAATCTTCTATTTCGTGTCAATGGAATCACGTGTTCCGTGGCTGTCTCCTCTCACTGAGAATCATGTTTTCCTGTTCACCCGTGTTGTAGCATCTATTGGAGGTCCATTTCTTTTTGCTCACCGGCCCCCTTTGTGGACTGCGGGCGGTGCCTTGCTTGCAGCCTCTGACTGCGACACACGAGGCTGGTGGTTCAAGACTATCGGATGCTCCGTGTGGGAGAGAGGGATCCGTCTGTTTTCTGTAAGATGTGTAGCCTTGAAAGCCCTGCACTGCAGCCTCACTCTGCCCTACAGGGTCCCCGGGCATCAGAAAGGATGCCATGCATAGCAGGGACTTTGGTATAGAGGGTTGCGGGGTGCACCGGAAGCTTTGTGCTGTGCCACAGCTGTGTCTGCCGGCGTGTTTCAGTGGACCCTCTGATGCGTACTTTTAGC